ATGGTGGCTCGTGCCTGTAATCCCAGCTACTCAGGAGGCTGAGACAGGAGAATTGCCTGAACCCAGGGGGCGGAGGTTGCGGTGAGCCGAGATGGCGCCATTGCACTCCAGCCTGGGTAACAAGAGCGAAACTCCGTCTCAAAAAATAAAAAATACAAAATAAAAAATAAATAAACCCAAATCAAAAGCAAAATTCATTTGAATGTCCATGCTCACAGCAGCATTATTCACAAAAACCAAAAGGTAGAAGCAATCCAAATGTCCGTCAACAGACGAATGGATCAATGAAATGTGTCTCTCCACACAATTCAGCCTTAGAAAGGAAATTCCAACACATGCTACAACATGGAGGGACCTTGAAGACTTTATATATACTAAGGGTGCCCACCCCCCACCTCACTGTATTCCTATGTTGAAATCCCAACCCCCAAGATGTTTGTATTAGGATATGGAATTATTAGATTCAAAGTCTGAATTCCTGACCTCAGGGGATCCACCTGCCTTGGCCTCCCAAAGTGCTGAGATTACAGGCGTGAACCACCTTGCCTGACCCGCACTGTGTTCTTATAATAAAGTAAGCTGCAGAAAAGAAAATGTTATTAAGATAATCATAAGGAAGATAAAATCTGTTTAGTATTCTTTAGGTAGAAAAGGATTATCCCAAGGAAAGTGGAGGAAGAAGAGGGGGTTGATCTCACAGTCTCAGGGGTGAAAGAGGCAGAAGAAAATCTGTGTATAAAGTGGACCCATGAAGTTCAAATTTCTGTTGTTCAGGGTTAGCAGTACACAAGGGACACCAGAGTAGCTAAAGGTTGGGCTGGGCACGGTGGCTGACACCTATAATCCCAGCACTGTGGGAGGCTGAGGCAGGTGGATCGCTTGAGACCAGGAGTGTGAAACCAGCCTGGGCGACATGGTGGAACCCTGCCTCTACTATAAATACAAAATTAGCTAGGCATGGTGGCATGTGCCTGTAATCCCAGCTACTCAGGAGGCTGAGGCACAAATGACTTGAACCTGGAAGATAGAGGTTGCAGTGAGCCAAAATGGTGCCACTGTACTCCACCTTTGGGTGACAGAGTGAGACTCTCTCAAACAAGCAAGCAAACAAAAACAGATTAGCTAAAGGTCGAACTTTCAGTGATGAACTAAACAGAAACAATCTTGGAGACTGTGGACAGGAGAAGAAGCAAGCACAGATGCAGTTAAAACCCATGATAAACGCCCTGGCAAAAACAAGTGTTAGGCTGGGCGTGATGGCTTCTGTCCGTAATCCTAACACTTTCGGAGGCTGAGGCAGGAGGATTCTTGCGGTCAGGGGGTTCAAGGCTGCAGTGAGCTATGATCAAAGCACCGCACTCCTGCCTGGGTGACAGAAACTCTGCCTCTTAAAACAAAAAACTCAAACCCAAACCCAAACCCAGCATAGTCCATGAGAGAGGAAGAGCAGGGCAGGCCTACTCACCAGGGGCAGTCGGGGGAGGATGCCCAGGAAGGGTCTCTGAAGTGAGCACCTGGAGGAAGGGGGTTAGTTCTGAGGGACTGGGATTCATCCTGGCTTTGGGATCATGGGCAAAGGTCCTGTGGTGACAAGGAGCCTGGTGGCAACCTGGCTTAGCACCATGTGAGAGCAGAGGGGTGGAAAGGTACTAGGTAAGCATGCCTTCAGATGAGAAATGAGGGAGACAGAGACTGGGGGATCCTGACACGAGAGGAAACAAAAGGAGATGGGGAGAATAGGTGACCAGAGGGACCACTGGACCACCGAGGGTGGGGACGTGCTGAGATCAGGGGGATGTGCTGAGATCAGAGCCACGTGCAGGAGAATGAGGTACAATCTTGAACAGACCTCCCAGCACAGCTGGTCCAGCCATCAGTGACCACAACCACACGCATGATTGCAAGTGGAACCAGAACCACCCAGGCAACCCACAGAACTGGGGAACTAAACAAGTCTTGCTTTAAAAGACTGTGTTACTGGTGGCTTGTCATGTAGCAGTGGATCACTGAAACAGAGTCTCAAATATCTATCAGGTCAAGTGTGTGGTGAGTGGCTCACACCTGTAATCCCAGCATTTTAGGTAGCTGAGGCAGGAGGATCCCTTGAACACAGGAATTTGAGACTAGCCTGGGCAACATGGCAAGACTCTGTCTCTACAAAAACTAAAAATAATTAGCTGGGCGTGGTGGCATGTGCCTGTATTTCCAGCTACTTGGGAGGCTGGGACAGGAGAGTTGTTTGAGCCTGGGAGTTTGAGGCTGCAGTGAGCTGTGATTGCACCACTGCACTCCAGCCTGGGCAAGAGTGAAACCTTGCCTCTAAAAAATATCTACAAACCAGGAAGGAGTACTGAATGGCTCCTGTGGCCCCAAGACCTTGCAGATTTTGAGGTCCGTCTCAGAGCTCACCAACCTTCTCTTGGTCTAGAATTATCTAAAAGGAGTTGAGTGCAGCCAGAGAGGATCGAATACACGGTGTTCTTCAACCCCATCAAACTGCTGTGCCCTACAGATGATCCTTGGTCCAGGTGTAGGTGGGGTGAGGAGCCGCCCAGGACTAGGAGAAGGTAGACTTCAGAATGTGTGACCTCCATCTAACTCCAGATGCTCCAGGGGTCTGAGACCATTTCCATCAGGGTCTGGAAGGCCCTTCCCCAGAACACATAGTCAACACTGGAGACAATCTTTCCCTGTGAGTGGTGCAAGGGTCCTGGGGCAGTGAAGGCTGTGAAACAAAGTTGGGACCAGAGTGTCTCTATGGTTGAGGAGTTGGTCTGGGCTTATTTGCTCTCTCAGGGTAACTGTGTGCACTTACCTGTAAGTGCAAGTAGAAACACCTATCCTCTGAGCTTAAAAGGATCAAAAAGCTCTGACGGTGTCAGTGGTAGGGCTGGTTCATGGGCTGCAGCAGTGCTGATGCGCACAGGTGGGACCTTCTCCTGCCCTAATTCCCAGAGACTGGTGCTCTGGGGAGGGTCTGGGAGGCATATTTCTCTTTCACAAATACATGCACAACACATGAATGAGCTACTGGATGAGGGAAGAAATGAATGATGGAGTGAACAAAGCTTCCTTTCTCCTCTCCAGGAATTAGCACTCACTGATTAGTCCCCCACTGCCCACCAGCCTGTGCAGAGAAGGGAGGAGCAACAAGTTACGGATGTTGCAGCTGTGACTAGACAGTGGTCAAGATCGCCTGTGTCTGCAAAGGCCCACCCCAGCCCTCACTGGGCAGCGGACCTGTTGGCCCAAGGAGCAGTGGGAAGAAGGGTGGGGCTCCCGGAGTCACCCAGCTGGCTGAAACATGTACGTTCTGCACCTCACCAGGTAGACAATGGATGTGGACAGCTTGACACTGAGCAGGGGGCTCATCTGAGCCTCAGGGGTGGCTGCTCTATCAAGTGTTTGCGAGTAACCAGTCCCAGTGCATTCCCAGCTGCTCAGTGCCACCTTGCCTGCCCAGGACCACTTCAGCCCCAATCACAGGCCACAGGCCTGCACAGGTTCCAGGGGAGGAGACACTCCAGTTTTTGGTGAGAAAGTGAACATGTGGGATAAGAGACTTTAAAGTCCAAATTTCCCCTTCAATTTTTTTTTTTTTTTTTTTTTTTGAGACGGAGTTTCACTCTGGTTACCCAGGCTGGAGTGCAATGGCACGATCTCGGCTCACCGCAACCTCCGCCTCCTGGGTTCGGGCAATTCTCCTGCCTCAGTCTCCTGAGAAGCTGGGATTACAGGCATGTGCCACCACGCCCAGCTGATTTTTTGTATTTTTAGTAGAGACGGGGTTTCACCATGTTGACCAGGATGGTCTCGATCTCTTGACCTGGTGATCCACCCGCCTCGGCCTCCCAAAGTGCTGGGATTACAGGCTTGAGCCACCGCGCCTGGCCCTTCCCCTTCAATTTTTAAAAAACTATTTCAGGCAGTGTGTAAACACATATTTAATTAATTTATTATTTTTATTCTTATTTATTTTTTGAGGCAGGGTCTCCCTCTGTTGGACAGGCTGGAGGGCAGCGGTGAGATCTTGGCTTGGTGCCACCTCAACTTCCCAGGCTCAAGTGATCCTCCCACCTTAGCCCCCACCAAGTAGTTGGGACTGCGGGTGCCTGGCCACCACGACCAGTTAATTTTTAAATTTTTTTTTGTAGAGATGGGTTTTTGCCATGTGGCTCAGGCTGGACTCAAACTTCTGAGCTCAAGCAATCCTCCCACCTTGGCCACCCAAAGTGCTGGGATTATAGGCCAGAGACACTACATCTGGCCTCCAAATTTCCCTTTTGTAAGGACACCAGTTGTACTGACCAGGCCCCACCTCTGTGACCTCATTTAACCTTCGTTAGCTCCTCAAAGGCCCTATCTCCAAACATAGGCACGTGGATGGTTAGGGCTGTAATGTACAGATTTGGGGGATGCAATTCAGTCCATCACAGCACCAAAGTGTGAGCCAGAATGGGGTGGGGAAGGTGCCAGGGCCCTGGGGCTTCTTTCCCAAATATGAGTCACTCCTCTTGGTTCAAGGAGGGAGAGAAGCATGGCCTGAAGGCAGTGCTGGAGCGTGGAAGGGGCAGGGAATCCCCCGCTCTGGGCCCCCAGTGTCTTCTGCTGTACAAAGCAGGTGTTTTTACCCGCCAAGGATGTGTCTTTCCTTCTTGGCTTACCAAGCGTTTAAGTGTGGACAGAAAATTTATTTTTCTGGGGCTCAGCTTCCTCAGGGGAAAGCTGAGGTCATGCCCCCTTAGGGACCCTAACCCGAAGGCTTTCAGGGCACTGGCCCGAGTGTCTGCAGCAGGTGCTTCCTCCCTGAATGCTTCCACACGGCAAGATCAGGGCCACAAATGCTGCCCCCAGGCTTTTCCGGTAACCGACGCTGCAAACCCAAGAAAGCCTGGGATGGTAGTGGCCAGGGACGGGGCATGCCACAGCCCCACCTCTCAGAGTAGCGAGGAGGATGCTGGGCCAGCCTTGGGGACCCCAGGCACTGTGGCCACAGGAGGCAGAGCTCCGTGGGTCTGCACCATGTCCTGCATGCCTGTCCTGCTCATGCTACTTGTCTACTGCACAGGTGAGGAACCCCCAGAGCCCGAAGGCCCCAGCCCCTTCCTTTTCTCTGCCCTGTGCCCACGGCCCACATGCTTCTTTGTCACCAGGTTGTGGTCCTCAGCCAGTGCTGTATCAGCCGCCAGCCATGTCCTCGGCACTTGGAACCACAGTCCGCCTCACCTGCACCCTAAGGAATGACTATGACATCAGTGTGTACAGCGTCTACTGGTACCAGCAGAGGCTGGGCCACCCTCCGAGGTTCCTGCTGAGATACTTCTCACAGTCAGACAAGAGCCAGGGCCCCCAGGTCCCCCCTCGCTTCTCTGGATCCAAAGATATTGCCAGGAACAGGGGGTATTTGAGCATCTCTGAGCTTCAGCCTGAGGATGAGGCCATGTATTACTGTGCTATGGGGGCCCGGGACTTGGAGAAAGAGGAGAGGGATAGGAAGAGGGAGGAAGAAAAGGAACCCACTGCAGCCGGAACACATGTCCTTTGAACTGAAGACAGCCATTGACTTCAGTTCTCCAAGGGGCATGCATCCCTTGGAGAGGATGTCAGGGAAGAGGCTGGAGCCAAGGCCCAAAGTGCTGAGGGGGCGGAGCTACTCAGCTTCTCCTGGTCCTGCATTGTTGCTGTAAACCCCCGTCGGAGGCTGCATTAGAGAATTAAAGCTGCTTGTGACTTTTTGCTGAGTTTGGCCTGACTGTTGTGTGATCTCTAGTCTCATTTTTTTTTGAGACTGAGTTTCGCTCTTGTTACCCAGGCTGGAGTGCAATGGCATGATCTCGGCTCACTGCAACCTCTGCCTCCTGGGTTCAGGCAATTCTCCTGTCTCAGCCTCCTGAGTAGCTGGGATTACGGGCACGTGCCACCATGCCCAGCTAATTTTTTGTATTTTTATTAGAGAGGGATTTTCACCATGTTGACCAGGATGGTCTCGATCTCTTGACCTCATGATCTACCCGCCTTGGCCATCTTGTAATACCAGCCTGAGACAAAGGCCCAGGGCACCGGGAGACTGGCAGATCACAATCTGTTCAGCTGAGGCATTGTGGTGAGTGCTCACCGGAGCCCCTACTCTTGTGGGCCATGGGAGGCAAGGGGCTGACTAAAACACCTTGGAGGGGCCTCCCTGAGAAGGACAGGAACCTCTACTGTCCTCTGACTCTGCCCAGGAGTTACAGGGTAAACAAGCTTGGAAAGCACCTGGCCTGGGCCTCTGCGGAGAACAGGAGCCGGGTGACAGGCCTACAGCGGGCTCTCCACCTTGGTTCTACTGACGTCTTGGGCTCGACAGTTCTTGGTTGTGGGGCTGTCCTGTGCATGGTCACATGGTGAGCGGCATCTGTGGCCTCTACCCACCAGATGCCCACTATCCACTCGTGACAAACAAAAACGTCTCTGGACATTGCTAAATGTCCCCAGGTCGCAAACTCAGCCTGACTGTGAACCACTGGTCTAGATGAGCAAGTAAATGCATTAACTTCTTTGCACAAGAGAGTGGCAGGTGCTGGCAAAGGTGTTTTCTCTTTCCTTTTTAGAGACAAAGTCTTGCTCTGTAGTCCAGGCTGGAGTGCGGTGGTGCATTCATAGCTCACTGCAGCCTCACACTCCTAAGCTCAAGTGATTCTCCTGTATCAGCCTCCTGAGCAGCTGAGACGACAGGTATGTACCACCATGCTCAGCTATTTATTAAATTTTGGTTTTGGAGAGATAAATGTCTCACTATGCTGCCCAAGCTAATCTCAAACTCCTGAGCTCAAGCGATCCTCCAGCTTGGGCCTCTTAAAGTGCTGGGATTAGAGTTGTGAGTCACAGCACCCAACCCATTTTCTATAAAGAGCCAGAAGGTAAATATTTTTGGCTTTGCGGGCTATGCAATCTCTGTCACAATTGCTCAGTTTTGTCCTTGTAGCAAGAAAGCAGCCGTAGACAATATGTGAACAAACAGGTGTGGCTGTGTTCCTATTAAAATGTATTTAAAGAAACAGATGGGGCTGCACTGGGTGCGTATGGCACTCAGGCTGTAGTGTGCTGAGCCCTGCTCGGGAGCACTCCAGCTCCTGTCTCCAGGTTTTAAGTAACTCACGACTGGTAGGATGATCAGAGTCTCTCTTAACTCCTCCTGCCTATGACCGCAGGCAGGAGCTTCAGGACCCAAGGAGAGACCTAGAGGAATAACAGATGTGGTCTCACTGAGACTGCGTTGGACTGGCTGGGTAAAGTAGAAATGGGGAGCTTCCTGCAGCCCTGGCCCACAGTAGGGTCCCCTGAGCCTGTGGGTAGAAAGTCTGAATCTGTTTTGCAGACAGGGACTCTCTACATTGGGTGTCCACACAGCCTGTAGACATGCCTCACTAAGAGAGGTGCCAGGCAAGGCAAACCACCTCCCATGTGACCTCAACTTGGCTTAGAGCATGCATTCAACACAGCTAAAAAGTTCCCGATGCATCTCCCCAGAGAGGTGAACACATGTCAATATCAGCCTTCCATATGTGGTCACGAGTCCTCCCTTGTTAAACAGTGGTCTCTAGCACTTTGAGGTCAGGAGTTCAGGACCAGCCTGACCAACATGGCGAAATAATCTCTACTAAAAATACAAAATTAGCCAGGTATGGTGGCACATGTCTGTAATCCCAGCTACTCAAAAGGCTGAGGCAGAAGAATCACTTGAACCCAGGAGGCAGAGATTGCAGTGAGCTGAGATCATGCTACTGCATTCTAGCCTGGGTGACAGAATGAGAATCAATCAATCAAAAAAAAAAAAAAAAAAGAAAAGAAACAGTGATCTCTGGGCATCTGCTTCCCCAAATGCACTGGATTCTTCCCACAGCAGGCGTTTACCCCTGGGCCAGGCCCACATTTTAAAACATTATTATTTATTTGATTCTTCTTCTTTTTTTTTTTTTTTTGAGACGGAGTTTCGCTCTTGTTACCCAGGCTGGAGTGCAATGGTGTGATCTCGGCTCACCGCAACCTCCGCCTCCTGGATTCAGGCAATTCTCCTGCCTCAGCCTCCTGAGTAGCTGGGATTACAAGCATGCGCCACCATGCCCAGCTAATTTTTTGTATTTTTAGTAGAGACGGGGTTTTACCATGTTGACCAGGATGATCTTGATCTCTTGACCTCGTGATCCACCCGCCTCGGCCTCCCAAAGTGCTGGGATTACAGGCTTGAGCCACCGCGCCCGGATTTTTATTATTCTATTTTAGAGACAGGATCTTGCTATGCTGCCCAGGCTGGACTGCTGTGGCTAGGTTCAATCACGATGCTCTACAGCCTACTTGGGCGCGAGCAATCGTCTCACCTCAGCCTCCTGAGTGGCCGGACTATACCTGTGAGTCACGGCACCTGATCTAGGCCCACAGTTTTAAAAGCCAGCTAGATAGTTCCAGGGGAACTCTTGTCTTCTGCTTATAACCTGTCCCTCTCTTGTTTTCATCCTTCATGATTCTGAAATTCCATGCTACAAGAAGAAATCTAGAAAGCAGGGAGCTGAGCTGGTCTCCTCTGTCATCCACATGCCCCTGCCCCATCAGCTCAATGACGATGTGACCTGGAACTCAGGCTTCAGGCCAGACCGAGCATGAGTCTCAGCTCTGCAGGAATCACTTGAAATTGAAGCCAACATTTCCAATGTCGTATGTAAAAGGAATAATCATAGAACTGATTAACTTATATAAAATTATTTATCTGGCCCTGCGTGGTGGCTGATGCCTGTAATCACAGCACTTTGGGAGATCGAGGTAGGTGGAACACCTGAGGTCAGGAGTTCGAGATCAGCTTGGGCAACACGGCCAAACCCTGTCTCTACTAAAAATACAAAAATTAGCCGGGCATACTGGTGGGCGCCTGTAATCCCAGTTACTTGGGAGGCTGAGGCAGGAGAGGTTGCAGTGAGCTGAGATTGCACCACTGCACTCCAGCCTGGGTGACAGAGTAAGACTCTGTCTCAAAAAAAACAAAAAAGTTTTTATCCATCATAAATGCTGACCAAAATAGTAGTATTATGATTTCCCCATCAGTCACCTGCCTGGCCTTTTTTCTTGTCAAATCCCTTCCTTGAGTCTGAGTCGTTGCTCACCTTGACCACTGTCTGGTCACCTTCCCATCTATCCTCCTGCTGCATGCAGCCTGCACCCACCATTCCTCATCTTTGTTGCTCCTAGGTCCAGCCTTGCCTGCACTCCTTCTCTCTAACACTTTATTGTCTCCCACGCTCTAAGAAACATATGCAAGCCACATCTGTAATTTACAATTTTCTAGTGACTACATTATTTTTAAAAAGGAAAAACAAATAGGTAAAATGAATCTTAATGATATATTTTATTTAACACAGTATATTCCCAATATTACCAATTCAACCTATAATCAATGTAAAAATTAGTTACTAGATAATTTAAACTTGTTTTTCTTTCTTTAATTCAGTCTTCAAAATCTGGTATGTAATTTATATTCATGTCTCAGATAATTGGACCAGCCAAGTGGTCTAGAGATGCATGTGGCTTGTGAAGAGAGAGCGTGGGTTCAAGGGTTGCAATTCAGCCTCCTTCCCATGACACAGCCTTTGAAGGCTGGCTCAGGCTCAGTCCCAAGTCCCGTCTTTTCTTGTGCACCTTCTCCCTGTCTGTTTCAAGCCAACTGCAATTGATCAAACACCGAGCCTCTTAGTTGCTTCCAAACACTTGCCCAAACTGTTTTCTGCCAGGACTTCCTGTCCCTTTGTGGTGGTCTCCAGCTGGCTGCACTGACTCAGGGCTCCACAACTGTCTTAAATCTCACTCCTTGGGCAAGACTCCCCTGAGCTCTTCATGCAGTTATCAACTTCCTCCACTGTGCAAACAGCAGGTTTTCCTAACTATATTTAGCATGTGCTGCACAGTTCAAAATTTATTTAGCAAAGCTTCCTCCCCTACTAATCTGCAGATTCTCAGTGGGCAGGATCTACTCAACCCACTGATGTGCCGGATAAACTCTTGGCAATTAGAGAGTTGAATGAAGAATGAATGAATGAATGTGTAACTGAATGAATTCTCGGGTTCCAAATACCCTGCCATTCTGGGATCCCATCAGGTGGCTGAGGTCACAACCTTAGAGAATTGTGATTCCCTAAGAAGGGAGAACCGGTCCAGACCTTCTCTGTCACACCAGTGACTGGCCACATTTCCTCTCTTTCTCTGTCTCTCTCCCTCATCCCCCTCCTGCATGACGGTAATGATAAAATCCACCTGGTCAACCCAATTACAACTTTTGGCCTCATATCCATCCCTCCCTCACCTTCTGACCAGGGCCACGGTCACCCTGTGGGTTCTTCCTCTTGAACTTCTCTCACTTCCTTCCTCCTCCATATCCCTGAGACCAGCCCCTATCCCCCAGCCTGCTCTGCTGCCTTCTGGCTCTTTGTTGAACCTAAGACGAGGGATGTCCTTCTAAAGAGTCAGTTCCTTCCATACAGCCTCCTTTTCACAATCTCTATCAACCCCAGATAAGGAAACAACCCAGCCGCTCACTGTGACACATGATATCTATCTGCACTCTGGATGCAAATGATCTTACCCAACTTTCCACTCTCACTTCATGTGCTCAAGTCCACTCTTAGTGGTATATTTTGCCATCCACTAAGCCATTTAAAGTGCCTGGTTATCACCCCAAATTCCTCTCTCTTCTTGGACTATGATATGCTTTCTTTGCCCCCAGCAGGACCCCACTCTCCACTCACACACCCAGGTTACAGTCACCTTCCCCAGTCCCCGTGGAAGGAGCTGCTCAGGCCTTTGCTCCCAGAGCTCTCTGCATTCCGCACTCCCTGAAGCCTCCTTAAGTTGGACCATCATCATATTTCCCACGTGTCCCACATGTCTTCCTAGGAATACAGAAGTCCTCTGTGGAAAGCCTGTTTATTAATATTAGTTACTTTCATCTGGGCACAGTGGCTTACGTCTATAATCCCAGCACTTTGGGAATCTGAGGCAGGTAAATCACTTGAGCTCAGAAGTTCAAGACCAGCCTAGCCAACATGGTGAAACCTTGTTTCTACTAAAAATATAAAACTTGAACCTGGGAGGTGGAGGCTGCAGTGAGCCAAGATCACAACATGGAACTCCAGTTGGGGTGACAGAGCAAGATTTTGTCTCAAAAAAAAAAAAAATCAGTTACCTTGAGACAGAACAGGGGTGTGGCCATGGATGCTGTGGAACAACAGTGACCAGGCTCTCTGGTGACTCCACTCACAGGACTCCCACTGAAAGACTCCAAGGTGGCCAGTGAGCAGACAGGCCCACTGTGGGTCTGTCTCAGGGTCTGCACAGGGTGTACCCACAGTGGAGCCTGTATTTGCTGCTGGGACTCACTGTCAGATCTGCTCTTCTGGGGAATATCAGCTGCTCATAATACAAGTTTCCCACAGGCTAGACTTGTCAGAGCCTCTAGGAGGGGTGGACTGCAAAAGATCCAGAGAAAGAGAGGGGAGGCTTCTGTCTTCACTTTCCCCTGGGGTCTAGAGCACTGTGTATGCATCCCCGAGTTAGTGGAGGCGTCTTTAGATCCAGAGAAGCAGTTGGCGATCCTGGAGCCCTGGTTGCTTCTCTGAGTCTGACTTAAAACTCATGAGCTATCTCCTAGCTTGTGCTGTATCCATGTTATCACATAGTCACCAACACTGAGGACACTGCTCAGGGTGTGGGAGAGTTTGGCAGATGCTCCGAGGGATGCAGAGAAGGAGGTGACGGAGTCAGCACATGCTGGGAGAGGGAACCTGCAGACACAGACACTCGTGGGTGCTGGGGCGAGACCGAGATTATGTGTCTTGATGGTCAGAACCACAGGAGTTAACACACAATCTAAGGGCAGGTACCCTGGACTCACTGAAGCCTGTACTCACCTGTGCAGTGAGAGTGAAGCACGAGGGGGAGAGGGGTCCAGGCCATGGTAAACACTGCCTCCGAGGCGCAGAGGGCTGGTGGTCCTGGCTTCTTTTATCTTCTCCACTGTCCTGAAAAGGGAGGGGCTGTTCACACAAATTTGTTTTGCCTACTAGTGATTTCTGCTCCACCCTGAGAATCGGTTGAGATCTAACCTTGGTCTGAGGTGGTTTTTTTTTTCCCCAATATTGATAGAGATACCTTTAATAGGACTATAGCGTTCAGGCCTACACACAAGAACACAGCAGCTGGAAGTAAACTGGCTCCTGGCTCATCCTAAACTTTCTGTTTGGCACTGGACAGTCTAAGAGGCCCTTGTGCGAGTCTGATTTCTTTCCAGCTTTTCTACATCACTGGCCAAAAAACAAAAAAAGCCCATACACAGAGTTGGCCCCACAGGAGAGACGATGGAGGAATCAGCTGTTGGTATCTTCCATAGACCGGTGAGCAGAAGCCTTTGCTTAGCCTGGGAGCACACAGCTGCAGCCTGAAGACAAGGATATTATTGTAACACGCAGAATGATGTCACTGTGCTTAGACACTGCTCTAGACCCAAGGGGAAGTGAGACAGAAGCCTCCCCTCTTCTCTCTGGATCTTTTGCAGTCACCCCTGCTGGAGGCTCTGACAAGCCTAGCCTAGGGATGACTTCTATTGTGAGCACCTGATATTCCCCAAAAGAGTACATCTGACAACATACACTCTCTTTTTCAGTTCAACTTACAGGAAGATTCATGGGTTTTTCTTGCTCACCTCATTGATGTTTCTGCAGGCAGAAATCCCTTGCTCAGAGATGAAAACTTCTCAGTAGAGATGTTGGAGCCATCAAGAGACTGATGCCAGCCATGCCTCACTCAAAGTCCAGCAGTGACTCACAATGCTGGCTGGGGCTTCAGTTTGGGTTTTTATGACACAATGTCCATCTGTAGAAATGAATTGTGTTATATACACTAGCCATGAACCATCCAATATTATGAAATAAAAGCAACACTATTTATAATAGCACCAATAGGACATGCTTAAGGACAAACAGCAAAACAGAAAGTCTTGTACCCTGAAAACTGCAACAAAGTGTAAGATAAAGAAGTGTTAGAGCAGCTCCCGCAGCTCCTGCTCTGGTCTGCCGCAGCTTGGCGGCAGCCATCAGCCCCCTCGGCCTCGGCTCGAGGGGTGGGTAGCTGTGGGCGTCCCTCTCCGACCCCACCGCCGCCATGGGCTGCCTCGGGAACAGTAAGACCGAGGACCAGCAAAAAGAGGAGAAGGCGCAGCGTTAGACCAGCAAAAAGATCGAGAAGCAGCTGCAGAAGGACAAGCAGGTCTACCGGGCCACGCACTGCCTGCTGCTGCTGGGTGCTGGAGAATCTGGGAAAAGCACCACTGTGAAGCAGATGAAGATCCTGCATGTTAACGGGTTTAATGGAGATGAGAAGGCAACCAAAGTGCAGGACATCAAAGACAACCTGAAAGAGGCGATCGAAACCACTGTGGCCGACATGAGCAACCTGGTGCCCCCTGTGGAGCCAGCCAACCCTGAGAACCAGTTCAGAGTGGACTACATTCTGAGTGTGATGAATGTGGGGGAAGGGAGGAAGAGAGGAGGGAGAGAGAAGGGGGAGTTGTCATATACTGGAGGATCTGCGCCTGCTCAGTACCTGAGGAGGCACCCTCTGCTCTCCAGAGTGAATTTGCTCACATGTGGGGAGAAAGCTTTGGGATAACCACTCTACATTGCTTTTCTGACACTAACTACCTTAACTGAGGTCAAAGCTCACAAGATAAGGGCATAGCCCTTCACAGCATTGCCCCCAGTTGACACTCCAGCCCTAAGTTTAAGGGTTCAGGCAAACCACACTTAGGACAGACATGCTGCAAATGCAGGCGTTCCCACAAACACCTTGGGTTTGATAATTTACGATGGTGGGTCACAGAACTCAAGAAAGCCCTTAGATTACAATTTTATTATAAAGGATATAAGTCAGGATGAGTCCATTGAGGAAACACCGGGAGTCAGGGCCAGGGGCTTGTGACACGGAGCTTCTGTGTCCTCACGACGCATCCCCTCCTGTGCGCTGATGTGGGAGCACCGTGCAAGGAAACGCACCAAGACTGCAGTGTCCAGAGCATTCAGGGTTTACTACAGAGAAATGACTGATTGAATTGAACTCAATCTCCAGCCCCACTCAACCCCTCGAAGGTCAGCAGGGTGGAGTTATATCAGTGGCTCAGAGCCCCAACTCTTTAGGGACCCAGGTTTTCTTTCCTACATGGCCACCCCACTTTCTGAATCAGTCAGGGGCCTACCATGAGTCACCTTGCTCTCATAAACTCAGGTGTGGTCACTGGAAAAATTGGAGGATTGAGAGGTTACCTCCTAGGAGCCAGGACAAAAGCCAGACTTGTCTTAGCATAAAGCAGAGTCTTCACAACACACACCCTACTGGTTAAACATGTGTGGATTATTATTTTTTTTTAAGTGTCGCGCAGGCTGGAGCACAATGGTGTGATCTTGGCTCACTGCAACCTCCGCCTCCTGGGTTCAAGCAATTTTACTGCCTCAGCCTCCTGAGTAGCTGGGACTGCAGGTGCACACCACCATATTCGGCTATGTATTACTAATAGAGATGGGTTTTTGCCATGTTGGGCAGGCTGGTCTTGAACTCCTGAATTTAAGTGATATGCCCACCTTGGCCTCCCAAATGTGTGGATGTTTAGGTTATGACATGCCCCCTACTGAGAATGGCTGTCACGGCCTAGACCTGGGAAGGAAGACAGGATGGAATGAGGATGGTGAGAGGATGCAGGGTTGTCAGGACCAAGTTCAGGCTCCATGTCTGCAGGACTAGACTTTTGGTGCTCACTCACCACCCAGAGGAGACTGGGGTATTACAGAAAATTCACGTCAGCCATCCCACACGGAGTCGGACATCTCAGGTAGTGAGCAAGAAAGCCCAAATCTAGTCAGTAGGTGTCCAGGAGTGGTCAGTCCTCCTGCCAACATTGGCTATATATTTATGGTTCCCATTAAGAGTAAGGCATGCCAAGCATGGTGGCTCACACCTGTAATCCCAGCACTCTGGGAGGCCAAAGCAGGAGGATCATGAGGTCAGGAGTTCGAGACCAGCCTGGCCAAAACGGTGAAACCTCATCTCTACTAAAAAGACAAAAATTAGCCAGGTGTGGTGGCAAGCGCCTGTAGTCCCAGCTACTTGGGAAACTGAGGCAGGAGATACACTTGAACCCAGGAGGCTGAGGTTGCAGTGAGCTGAGATTGGGCCACTGACTCCAGCCTAGGTGACAGAGTGAGACTCTGTTTCAAAAAAACAAAACAAAACAAAACACAGAATAAGACATAAAACCACAGGAGCACAGGGCCTGAGAGGTTACTACAGAAAGTAAAGTTGTGCTCTGAAGCGCCCCCTGCAGGACCCTGTCCAGAGAGTCAGTAGGAGGTGAGGCCGCTCGCTGGTCAGCGCTCTGGGCTATTCTGTGCTCCTTCCCACCTGCCCCTCCATTGGCCCAAGTTCTAGTCCCACTTGCTTTGTCACCCACTGCCTCTGGCAGCTTCCTCTCTGGCCTTCAGTGTCCTCATTTATCCAGTGAATACAGCATCTCTCCTCTAATCACAGGTATTCATGCAGCGATAGAAATGATGTGGAAATGCTTTGAAAAATGTACTAAGTGAAAGACTGGGGCACTGACTTCCCATCTTCCCAAGTCCTGCTTCAGAACCACTTTCATAGGCCCCAAGCCCCTAACTCCATCTTGGCCCTTTGACCAAACTTTGCCTACTGAGGGGCAGAACTACATGGTACCCCCAGAACGGGGATGGATATTACAGCCGCCATTTCTTCTCTTTGCTATTTGCCATGATCACTCTTAAACCTAGAGACTGGGCCCCTTTCCCTGGTTGGTGGGGGGGCGCTCTCCCTAGACCAAAAGGGTGGGGCACATAGGAATCATAGTGGGCATTCTGACACAGTGTGATGTGACGGGTGGACGCAAGATAAATGCTGGAGCAGCTCTGGGCACACCCCAGTTACTCATTTGGACTCATTGGGACAAGTGACTAACTAGAATCCTCACTGAAGAAATGACAAGAAAGCTCCCTCCGATTTCTCAACCTCCATCCCACCTGATACCACACCCTCCGAATACACCCCGCCCTCCTAATACACCCCGCCCTCCTAATCCAACCCGCTCTCCTAAGTCAACTTGCTCTCCTAAGCCAATCCACTTACCCCCTATTTCTCTTCGGCCTGACAGCCCTCTTACTCCTCTCCAGAAGTATATAGATTTTTCAGTTTTCTGCTCTAACTGTTATCCCACTCTGGCTCAGGCCCACCTTCCCCACTACCCTACCCTAAAACTCTCCCTGCCCTGCTCTTCTGTTCTTCGTTACGCACCATCTATTTGCAAACTCTGTGGTTTGAGCCACTATGCCACTAGACCTCCTAAACCTGCTTGTGACTGCTGTGGTTCCAGAATTTTTGCCTGTAACTACCCTACCTCTTCCCCTACTCCTCCTAACCCTGCTGACCAGTACCATGGTCCCAGAACTACTTCCCATGATTCCTCTAGCTCTTCTCCTACTTATCCTTCTAGCCCTGTTTCCCAATGCCGTTGCCCCACGACTCCTTCCTATGGCTCCTCTGGCTCTTCCCCCATTCCTCCTTCTAGCCCTGATTTCCAGCACCTTGCTCCCAGAATTCCTTCCTATGGCTCCTCTAGCTCTTCCTCTACTCCTCCTCCTCGCCCTGCTTTACACTGCCTTGGTCCCAGAACTCCTTCCGATGACTCCTCTAGCTCTTCCCCCGCTCCTCCTTCCAGCCCTGCTTCCCAATGCCGTTTCCCCAGAACTCCTTCCGATGGCTTCTCTAGCTCTTCCTCTACTCCTCCTTCTAGCCCTGCTTCCCAATGCCGTGCTCCCACAACTCCTTCCTACGGCTCCTCTAACGATTCCCCTACTTATCCTTCTAGCCCTGCTTCCCAGTGCCGTAGCCCCAGGACTCCTTCCCATGGCTCCTCTAGCTCTTCCCCTACTCCTCCATCTAGCTCTGCTTCCCAAAGCCGTGGTCCCAGGACTCCTTCCCTGGACTCCTCTAGCTCTTCCCGTACTCCTCCTCCTCGCACTGCTTCCCAAAGCCGTGGTCCCAGGACTCCTTCCAATGGCTCCTCTAGCTCTTCCCTTACTCCTCCTCCTCGCACTGCTTCCCAAAGCCGTGGTCCCAGGACTCCTTCCCGTCACTCCTCTAGCTCTTCCTCTACTCCTCCTTCTTCCCTGGTTTTCCAATGCCGTGGTATCAGAATTCCTTACCATGCCTCCCCTAGCCATTCCTCTACCCCTCCTCCTAGCCCTCCCCGTTTTTAGTCCCCAGCCTCCAGCCCCCCCACCCCCCACCAGACCTGGCAGTTCACACATCTCATCTTGGGGGTGGTTTTCCTGCTCCTGGAGCAGTGCTGGTGCCGTTCAGGATGGCCGGGACCATCTTCAGCAGCCTGACCTGCTGGACAAAGGAAAGCAAGACAACGGCAAGCCAGCGTTCTGCCTCAGTGAGTCCCGGGAGCCCTTTCCGCGGCCAGGTCCTGCTCACCTACCGCCATCCGTATTTTGCCTTCATTCCCATTGTCAATCCTCTTGGATTTCCTTTCTCTAAACACTCTGCTCCCTTCCTTCCCTGCCTGATCAGCCAGCCTGCCTGAGCTTCTACATGTGTCCTGGGCTTCTCCATGGAAGTCGGTCTGTAGCCACAGAGCAAACCACAGGGCCGGTGACAGAGAAGGTAGAGGGGAGTGAGGAGTGGGAAGCACCTCACCTCTTCTCTAGGAGGGTAAGTCCTGCCCTGGGTTAAGGTGAGTGCAAGAACCATGACCCCTGACGGCTCACAGGGCACAATGCCCTGCTATAGATAGACGGGAGACTCAG